CTTTCAATGCATTAAAAAACCCGATACCTTTTAAACTGTCTATTAACCGAGCATAAGCTAATCCCCAAAAAATACATGTACAGTACAACATTACTTTCCCAAAAATATTTTCATCCATAGTTATAGGGGGGTGAAAATAATTATTAAAAAGTCTGAATAAAAGACGAATGATGTAATGACAACAAGCTTTGCAAACGCGTAAAGTGAAGTCTGTCAAGAGGACCCTCCTGTAACTTTTCGTAGCTATAATAACAAATTATTAAGTGGGTGAGGACTTAATTTTTAAATAGCCTGAGAAATTTGAGCTATAGTTTCCCACTACTCTTCAGTGGGGACCATTCCGGACAAAAATTATACATGAATCTTGTTTATCTAATTCTGTTGTACGCCAAGCTTGATTTCGCTAAAAAAACATTCTGTTCTAGAAAAATTTTAAAACTAGAACTCATAAAAAGGTAGTACAGGGGGGAGAATCTGGTACCTCTGGGTCTAGTTAAGGATGTTGTCAGGGGGCGGGGCCCCCGCGGGCCCCTCCCAGACCAGCCTCTTGGTGGGTCAAAACTGATCACCAGGTTTTCCCCCTTGGCCCCAAGCATTTCCGCCCCCCCGCCGGGTTTTAGGGCAGAGGAGCAACTTTTCCATTCCCTCTTGAAAAATAAATTGTTAATCACGTATTAGTGTCTGATCAGATATTTTTATAATTCAAAAAAAAAAAATTCTTATGAAGTAAGTTGTATCCACCATCTACACTTTGTGTAAATTAGACCATGTCAACTCTTGGGGACTTTATTGGGAAACGTTTTGCCAACAGTGGCTCATCATCCATACAAAAGAATCTTGAAAAACAGGAGGAGAAGAGTAATCATCCCCAACCTTGAGTCGAGGGACTGATTGATGGACTGACCACACGACTCAAGGTTGAGGGCTGATTACCCCATTCTCCTCCTGTTCTTCAAATTTCTCCTAGTATGGCTGATGAAGCCCTGTGTGGCGAAAAGTTTTCCCCAATAAAATACCCAAGAGTTGCACATGTGTCTAATTTATCAAAATGTCGGTAGCTTTTTAAAAAACCTAATTTTTAAAGGGGGGGGACCGGAAAGCCACGGGAAACCTCGTCAATGACCAAAAGCCCAAAGGGGGGTCATCATCTGACTAAGACCCGCGTCGGGAAAAATTTTTCCTGTTTTCCCGAGAACCCTTAAAATAACCTAAACCCAATCAACATTTGGGTTTTCTGAACCTTCATCACACTGTCTGTAATTCTTCACGTCTTAAAAAATTGCATCCTTTAGTCTGCAAATTTTAAAGGAATTTGTTTATTGGCAACTGTTTATACTGAGTCTAATAAATATATAAGTTATTAATGAGGGAATTTTTCTTTAAAGTGGTTCTCATTTTTTAAGGTAGCAATAAGGGTTAATTTTCTAGCCGAAAATTAGGGATTAAAATATCAATATTTCTCGGCGAACTCTGAGTTATTTATTTTTATAACACATGGAACCCCTATTCCCAAAAAAAACACAAAAGCCATACCGTGCTGAAACAATCAGAAGAAGAACTGACCCCGACGTTTTGGTCCCCTTGGCCATTAACAAATAAAGTGCAAACAAATTTTTTCAGCATTTCCCCGTCATTATTTGAAAGTTTCTTATATTTGTGCAGTTTTACTTTTAACATTTTGGATTATGAGTGGTGACAATTTTTTTTTATTAAAAATAACTTTTGTATCACTTTGGGAGATACGTCCTCCCAAAAAAAAATCATAACGATATTCGTTATTTTGTTCTGCCCCATCTTTCCCTTTTTATTATTTAAATTTCTTGGACTGGGTGTGTTGTGTGTGTTTGTGTGTGTGTGTGGTGTGTGTGTGTTGGTGTGTGGTTGTGTTGGTGGTTTTTTGTGTGTGTGTGTACTCACCCAGTTGTACTCACCTAGTTGAGGTTGCAGGGGTCGAGTCCAAGCTCCTGGCCCCGCCTCTTCACTGGTCGCTACTAGGTCACTCTCCTGAACCATGAGCTTTATCGTACCTCTGCTTAAAGCTATGTATGGATCCTGACTCCACTACATCGCTTCCCAAACTATTCCACTTCCTGACTACTCTGTGGCTGAAGAAATACTTCCTAACATCCTTTGATTCATCTGTGTCTTCAGCTTCCAACTGTGTCCCCGTGTTGCTGTGTCCAGTCTCTGGAACATCCTGTCTTTGTCCACCTTGTCAATTCCTCTCAGTATTTTGTAAGTCGTTATCATGTCCCCCCTATCTCTCCTGTCCTCCAGTGTCGTCAGATTGATTTCCCTTAACCTCTCCTCATAGGACATACCTCTTAACTCTGGGACTAGTCTTGCTGCAAACCTTTGCACTTTCTCTAGTTTCTTTACATGCTTGGCTAGGTGTGGGTTCCAAACTGGTGCCGCATACTCCAATATGGGCCTAACGTACACGGTGTACAGGGTCCTGAATGATTCCTTATTAAGATGTCGGAATGCTGTTCTGCGGTTTGCCAGGCGCCCATATGCTGCAGCAGTTATTTGGTTGATGTGCGCTTCAGGAGATGTGCCTGGTGTTATACTCACCCCAAGATCTTTTTCCTTGAGTGATGTTTGTAGTCTCTGACCCCCTAGACTGTACTCCGTCTGCGGTCTTCTTTGCCCTTCCCCAATCCTCATGACTTTGCACTTGGTGGGATTGAACTCCAGGAGCCAGTTGCTGGACCAGGTCTGCAGCCTGTCCAGATCCCTTTGTATTTCTGCCTGGTCTTCGATCGAATGAACTCTTCTCATCAACTTCACGTCATCTGCAAACAGGGACACCTCGGAGTTTATTCCTTCCGTCATGTCGTTCACAAATACCAGAAACAGCACTGGTCCTAGGACTGACCCTGTGGGACCCCGCTGGTCACAGGTGCCCACTCTGACACCTCGCCACGTACCATTACTCGCTGCTGTCTTCCTGACAAGTATTCCCTGATCCATTGCAGTGCCTTCCCTGTTATCCCTGCTTGGTCCTCCAGTTTTTGCACTAATATCTTGTGTGGTACTGTGTCAAACGCCTTCTTGCAGTCCAAGAAAATGCAATCCACCCACCCCTGTCTCTCTTGTCTTACTGCTGTCACCATGTCATAGAACTCCAGTAGGTTTGTGACACAGGATTTCCCGTCTCTGAAACCATGTTGGCTGCTGGTGATGAGATCATTCCTTTCTGATGTTCCACCATTCTTCTCCTGACAATCTTTTCCATGATTTTGCATGCTATACATGTCAGTGACACTGGTCTGTAGTTTAGTGCTTGATGTCTGTCTCCTTTTTTAAAGATTGGGACCACATTTGCTGTCTTCCATGCCTCAGGCAATCTCCCTGTTTCGATAGATGTATTGAATATTGTTGTTAGGGTACACATAGCGCCTCTGCTCCCTCTCTCAGGACCCATGGAGAGATGTTATCTGGCCCCATTGCCTTTGAGGTATCTAGCTCACTCAGAAGCCTCTTCACTTCTTCCTCGGTTGTGTGTACTGTGTCCAGCCACAGGTGGTGTACCCCACCTCTCCGTCTTTCTGGAGCCCCTTCTGTCTCCTCTGTGAACACTTCTTTGAATCTCTTGTTGAGTTCCTCACATACTTCACGGTCATTTCTTGTTGTCTCTCCTCCTTCCTTCCTTAGCCTGATGACCTGGTCCTTGACGGTTGTTTTCTTCCTGATGTGGCTGTATAACAGCTTCGGGTCAGATTTGGCTTTTGCTGCTATGTCGTTTTCATATTGACGTTGGGCCTCCCTTCTTATCTGTGCATATTCGTTTCTGGCTCGACGACTGCTCTCCTTATTCTCCTGGGTCCTTTGCCTTCTATATTTCTTCCATTCCCTAGCACACTTGGTTTTTGCCTCCTTGCATCTTTGGGTGAACCATGGTGTGTGTGTGTGTGTGTGTGTGTGTGTGTGTATGTGTGTCGGCCACACAGGCTACTGACTCACCACCTTCATCATCGATTAGTTGTCCTGGATCACCTGGATAATGTTGCCTTTATGCTCACCCCACAATCCTCTCCACCCATGTATGTGTTCACCCACCACCCTCCCCACCCATGTGTGTACATCCACCCACTACCCTCTCCACCCATGTGTGTGTGTGTGTGTGTGTGTGTGTGTGTGTGTGTGTGTTCCCCCACCCATGCAGCGAATTTTATAAATATTTAAATAGATCGTGTCAAGCTATTCGATTTTAATCAGTATAATGTGTGAGCAGTGGAAAATGTTAGTTTCATGTCAGTAGATCCTGAAGCCTCGTAATCAGGGATGCACTGGCCTAGAGTCTACTACGATGTTAACTTTCCTTGGAATATTATGGCAAGCTCGGGTTTAGTGCTTTTTGTGACTATAATAATAATAATTATTATGTGTAGGTTTTATTATAATCCATTACTTGGCGACTTATGGCAAAGACAGTGTTGAGCTGTCTTGCCCAGCATTAAGGGTATTCAGGTACAGGTACACATAAATTACCATACATAGCAACATATGTGTAAATTACCTACGATAACCCCAGAAAAGGTCAAAGTGACTTATTTCCACTGGGGTCCTTGATTTTCATTGTAGGTTCTTCAGATCAAGTCTCATTTTTAAAGACGTTATTAAACGTCTTTTTACTAGTGGTTATTTTTTTCGGGCCACTTTAGCAAGACGTCCATTAGTGTTGTTGGCAGTGTCAGTGTTGAACATGTTATTACAGAGCTTGGAGGGGAGACTAAACACTAAGAATTAAGTTCAAGGTTATTTAATTCTATGCCTTGAGTTGCTGCCTAAACCCTTAGGGAATCGTGGAGCGCCTGGCCAATAGGAGGTAATTAGATTTGATCCAAGGAGATGGAAGGTAGCTTCAATTCCTTAGATCAAGAGCCCTTCATTAGCATCAAGGCTCCCTCCTGAAACTGCTGCCACCTCAGAGGTCTGTTATATAATTTCTGTCGTTGCCACTTGGCCACAAATTTACTGATATTATAACATGACATATGAATTTGAAGGAGTTAGAGAAGCTGGCTGGAAAACACCCACTGGTAATGAGAGGAATCATCCTGTGAACAGTGTTAGTCATTTTTGGGGCCATGAAGCTTGAACAACTGTTATGGGGGGCCCTTCGCAATCCCTTTTCATACAGTAGGCCCAAAATTTGTAAGCAATGTGGACTTAAGCAGCTTCTAGGGCCCCTCCGGGATTTAGGGCCCTAAAGCTTAAGCTTCATTGGTTTCATAGTATTTCTGCCCCTGGTGTTAGTAAAGTACTAAACAACAATTTCTTCTGAGTTTAGAAGGTGGAGCTGGAAGAAGCTATAAGGGAGATACAGCTTCTGAGAGAAGAACACATAAGGATTCATAACCGTCTTCATGGCAACAAGAAAAACGATAAAGGAAATGACAATAACAAATGGAAAGTGGTTGGTAAAAAAGGAATAAAACTGAAGATAAAGAAGTCTGTAAAGGCAACTGTGGAAAGTCCAAATCCCTTCGCAGTATTGCTGGACGAGTGTAGTTCGTCCACCGACAAGGAGACAGGTAGGACAAAGTGAAGCTCGTGAAGTTAATAACATACTTATTGACGACTCCCATGTTAGATATTTGAGCAAAGTATTTTGTAACAAGAAAAGTAAATAAGAGAATACAGAGAAGCACGTTTTTGGGGCTGGTATGGAGGATATAGTTAGTAGGTTAAATAGTGTGAGCAATGTCATTATCTTGAAGAAATTATGTTGATAAATTAAGGAGAGAGGACCTGCTCTCCAAGTACTGTACAACAATAGTTAGAATTAGGCAAACAGGAAGAATCCTGGTCATGTGTAACATTTGTCACTAAAAGAAGTTGGCAATGAATAGATATCTAAGGCATTTGATGAAACTGGCTAGAAAAGTACGGCAAATAAATTGCATTGTTATTCATTAATAATTTGGATAATATATGTGGCAAACAAGACAAGGGTAGTAGGGTTGTCCAATTAGAGAGGGCCTTTAAACGAATTCTATTAGGCTTTAGACTATTGGAAGTTGGAGTGTGTGTAGTGAAGAGGCAGTGCCAAGAGCTATTATTCGACCCCTGCAACCACAAATTGGTGAGTACACAAGGGGGTCACAATTGGAAGTTGAAGACTCAGATGAGTCACAGGGATGTTAGGAAGTACAGTATTTCTTCAGTCATAGAGTAGTCAGGAAGTGGAATAGTCTGAAAAGTGATGTAGTGGAGGCAGGATCCATACATAGCTTTAAGAAGAGGTATGATAAAGCTCATGGAAAAGGGATAGAGTTGGCCTAGTAGCGACCAGTGAAGAGGCGGGGCCAGGAGCTATGACTCGACCCCTGCAACCACAGTTAGGTGAATACACATACATATTGGTAATTACTAAACCATAGATGGTCATGCAGTGCTCGATGAATGGGAGGTAATCGAGTTTGATCCAAGAATGGGGAGGGTAGTTCCAATTCTTCATTTGAAAACTGGAGCGCAATAAATACAATACGTAAAATAAATAAGAATAGGGGCATGCGCAAGACAAATATTTATGCCACCGAGATCTAGTTTATTTAAAAGGTTGGGACACCCCTGCTGAATGCCACACACACAGGCACAGTACAAAGTTTCCCATGCTGATAGAAACATCAAGATCGTGGGGTGGCGATGTATGTCAGCGTAAATTTTAAACTAATGTTAGGGAACCACTAGCTACTGTCGACCCTGGGTTCACCTGACCTGATTTTATCGATGAAAATCCAACAAGTAACGTGGAGGATTGTCAATATGAAATTTTTCAATATATTGTACAAGCTGCGCAGTGCTTATATATTCCCACAGAGAAATCATATCAGTCAAAAAATGACCCTAAATGGATAAGTAGGAAACTAAAAACACTTTTAGAGAAGATAATCATTTACAGGCCGATTTAGAGAGTCACATTATTGACCAATGTGTTGAAATTAACAGAGGTTAAAAAGGAGGTCAGTTACGGACTCGATGTAATGTATATTATTGACCTTGACGAGGAAATAAAAAAAAAACTAATAAACTCAAGAGGAAACACAAGCTACAGAATAACATGGGGAAGTTAATGTTGTGGTCCAAGTGACAAATACAGCTTAACTTTGACAAGTGCAAAGTCCTACTGCTCCTTGGGAATGAAAATAAATCTAACACCAAGAAATTAAATGTAGAGTTGGACCGTACTGTGTGCCACAAGGACTTGTGGCACATGTGAATCTTTAACTTCCATTTATATACCTCGTGGCTAGATCCCTCTTTTCAAGACCCTTCTGTGAAGGTTGGTCAGAGTGATTACATGCCATGCAATGACACTGTACATTACGTTACACATTAATACTTTCATGGAGTCATAAATCACTCTGGGAATGAGAGGCAAAAATTTCTGATCCAGGTAAAGGAATTAATTGCCCTTCAAAATCATAGGACAAGAGCCCTCACCGGCATCAAGGAACCTTTCCTGAACGATGAGTTATATATATATAATTAGGTAATCGAATAAAGATTACCTACTTTCCCTGTGTGTTGGAGGATTAAGGTAAGTTAGTGAGACTTAATCTTCCTCTGACCGGCTCGACCCTCGCCTGCCTTGCACCTCTTACCTTAATTATAGACAATCACTAATTTGTAAAATATTGGTTACTTAGGCACACGCCATCACGGAAATTGTTTAGTGTGTGGGTGTAATTGTGGTGGATAAGTTAGTGTGTAGTGCAGTGGTGGTTGTGTGGGTGTAAAGTAGTGGATGTGTGATGGTGGTGGTGGATAACTTTGTGTTTGTGTGGGGGAGGTGCAGTGATGGTGAGGATTCTGTGGGTATGTGGTGGATGTTGTGTGGGTACAGTTGTGGTGGTGGTGGATAAGTTTGTGTGAATGTAGTGCAGTGGTTGTAGTTGTGAGTGTATAGTGGTGGATGCATGTGGGCGAACAGGAACAAAGAATGCAAAGGCATTTCAACAGGCAGTTCCCTCTCTGGATAGGCACAATAAGATGCTGGAACAGGCAGTTCTTGGGCCTCTAGCAGTGTCGATGAAAATGGAACCCAATTCACTGAGGACACCTGTTGCACATTTGCCCCAGGGTCGAAGTTTATGATCCTCCTTTGACAAAGTGGTAGTGATTTCCCTAGTCCTCATAGTTATTACATTTAGATTCTTTTGTGTGATCAGCAGCACCGCCCTGTTGCCCAACACTAAAATGGATATTGACATCAGCCGATTGGATACACAGGCATAGTGCCACACCAGTTGTCTACTACTCTTCTAGGGATAGATTGTGATTCCCATCAATGTGGTCAGTAGGTTTACCAGGATTGAAGGATGCTAGGAATCAGGATTCTCCCAACCATAAAGAGGCTCCTATTCATGATAATGATGACTTCATTGTGTCATGCATGCCAGCCCTTGGCACCTGCACAATTTAGACCATGCAGACCATATTAGTCATGTTCAAAAATGCTGCAAATACACTGGCATTCAAAGTGAATAGTAGCAGTAAGGGAGAGCCACTGTAATAGAGGGTCCATGGGTTTAGATATATATAACAGGAGCAGCTTTCTAGTTGATATTGTGGTTATGATTCTTAACATGTTGGAAAACTGATGAAGTAGCTGACGAATGTCAAATAGATCTCTTTTGGTCAGAGGTTAGTGATTAAATTTCTACACATTGGTTCGATGCCAGATGTAACCCTTGCAAGGAACCTCATATATATGAAATTATTATTATTATTATTATTATTATTATTATTATTATTATTATTATTATTATTATTATTATTATTATTATTATTATTATTATTATATTATATTCATGTGAAGCGCTAAACTCATGTGAGTCATAAGATACAACCTAGGTGTGAGTATGGATTAATTATTTAGTATCAGTTACCATTGTAGTGCTCTTATTTTTATTATTGGTTTTAAAGTAACAAGCTAGTAACAGTTTTGTAAGTATAGAGCTAGTAACAGTTTTGTAAGTATAGAGCTAGTAACAGTTTTGTAAGTATAGAGCTAGTAACAGTTTTGTAAGTATAGAGCTAGTAACAGTCTTGTAAGTATGGAGCTAGTAACAGTTTTGTAAGTATAGAGCTAGTAACAGTTTTGTAAGTATAGAGCTAGTAACAGTTTTGTAAGTATGGAGCTAGTAACAGTTTTGTAAGTATAGAGCTAGTAACAGTTTTGTAAGTATAGAGCTAGTAACAGTTTTGTAAGTATAGAGCTAGTAACAGTTTTGTAAGTATAGAGCTAGTAACAGTTTTGTAAGTATAGAGCTAGTAACAGTTTTGTAAGTATAGAGCTAGTAACAGTTTTGTAAGTATAGAGCTAGTAACAGTTTTGTGAGTATAGAGCTAGTAACAGTTTTGTAAGTATAGAGCTAGTAACAGTTTTGTAAGTTTAGAGCTAGTAACAGTTTTGTAAGTATAGAGCTAGTAACAGTTTTGTAAGTATAGAGCTAGTAACAGTTTTGTAAGTATAGAGCTAGTAACAGTTTTGTAAGTATAGAGCTAGTAACAGTTTTGTGAGTATAGAGCTAGTAACAGTTTTGTGAGTATAGAGCTAGTAACAGTTTTGTAAGTATAGAGCTAGTAACAGTTTTGTAAGTATAGAGCTAGTAACAGTTTTGTAAGTATAGAGCTAGTAACAGTTTTGTGAGTATAGAGCTAGTAACAGTTTTGTAAGTATAGAGCTAGTAACAGTTTTGTAAGTATAGAGCTAGTAACAGTTTTGTAAGTATAGAGCTAGTAACAGTTTTGTAAGTACAGAGCTAGTAACAGTTTTGTGAGTATAGAGCTAGTAACAGTTTTGTAAGTATAGAGCTAGTAACAGTTTTGTAAGTATAGAGCTAGTAACAGTTTTGTAAGTATAGAGCTAGTAACAGTTTTGTAAGTATAGAGCTAGTAACAGTTTTGTAAGTATAGAGCTAGTAACAGTTTTGTAAGTATAGAGCTAGTAACAGTTTTGTAAGTATAGAGCTAGTAACAGTTTTGTGAGTATAGAGCTAGTAACAGTTTTGTGAGTATAGAGCTAGTAACAGTTTTGTAAGTATAGAGCTAGTAACAGTTTTGTAAGTATAGAGCTAGTAACAGTTTTGTGAGTATAGAGCTAGTAACAGTTTTGTGAGTATAGAGCTAGTAACAGTTTTGTAAGTATAGAGCTAGTAACAGTTTTGTAAGTATAGAGCTAGTAACAGTTTTGTGAGTATAGAGCTAGTAACAGTTTTGTAAGTACAGAGCTAGTAACAGTTTTGTAAGTACAGAGCTAGTAACAGTTTTGTAAGTATAATGTGAGTCTAATTGAAAGTAATTTCTGCAGCATATATCACGAATGTCGTCACTGGAGAGCATTTCCCCACCGCTGGTCACGCCTGCTAGAGCTAATACACCCACTGAGGCCAAGCAGTCAGCCGCCCTCGCCCGCCCTCAGATAGTGGGCGGCTCCCTGGCTACTTATTCCGCCGTCGACACCGCCAGAACTGTCAATAATTCACACAGCCGTAACAACGAAGTGGGTCAGCCAAATGGTCGTCTCAGACAACTTTCAGAAACATCACGCAATTCTCTGCCACCCACGAAACTGCCATTCCGTCCTGGACGAATGCCACCCGAGACTCCGGTGATGGCCATACCGCCCACGCCGCCACCCACAGCTGCCGGGGATGGCATGAGGAAAGGAGGGAGAGTACACCTGCAGCCATTAACGATAAGAAAGACATCGAACTAAGCTAAGCTAGGCCTGTAGAAAGTACATTGTAACTTAGCTCAGTAATAACCATGAACAGTGACGATGCTGTGAGTAACCTAAGTTACCCACCATATTCTAAATGACCTCTTGGACATAATTGTAAAATATTCCCAATTATATTTTGAATATTATTTATATCTTATAAATGTATGCAGGATTATGACCATTGAACATTTAACTAGTAATATCAAGCAGAAATGTATGAAGTGTCCTTATTAGACTTTAATTACATTCTTTTAAGTGATCTCAAATTGATTTTAAATTAATTAGATTAGTGTGTGCATATCACTGTAACTTGACACTAACAGCGGTTGACTTAGGAAAATTATGGAAATAAATAAAAGTATTAGGCTGGATTAGGATGGATAATGAGAACCTTTAAAACTAGGGATGCCAAGCCCATGATGACACTCTTCAGGTAACTTGTTCTATCTAGGCTGGAATATTGCTGCACACTAACAGCACCTTTCAAGGCAGGTGAAATTGCTGACCTAGAAAATGTACAGAGAACCTTCACGGCGCGCATAACGGAGATAAAACACCTCAATTACTGGGAGCGCTTGAGGTTCCTAAACCTGTATTCCTGGAACGCAGGTGGGAGAGATACATGATTATATACACCTGGAAAATCCTAGAGGGACTAGTACCGAACTTGCACACGAAAATCACTCACAACGAAAGCAAAAGACTTGGCAGACGATGCAACATCCCCCCAATGAAAAGCAGGGGTGTCACTAGCACGTTAAGAGACCATACAATAAGTGTCAGGGGCCCGAGACTGTTCAACTGCCTCCCAGCATACATAAGGGGGATTACCAACAGACCCCTGGCAGTCTTCAAGCTGGCACTGGACAAGCACCTAAAGTCGGTTCCTGACCAGCCGGGCTGTGGCTCGTACGTTGGTTTGCGTGCAGCCAGCAGTAACAGCCTGGTTGATCAGGCTCTGGTCCACCAGGAGGCCTGGTCACAGACCGGGCCACGGGGGCGTTGACCCCCGGAACTCTCTCCAGGTAAACTCCAGGTAATTACTATAGTGACAGACCAACTACAGAAAACTACGATATTTCTTGTCATCATTAATTCACAATTTTTTCAACTATATGTCATAAGCAATATTTCATGTTGAAGACGAATTTCTTCAGATTTTTACAGTAACCTTAAAGTATTTTAACCCCTGAGGGTTATTAACCAACGTGGATTAATAATCCAGGATAACCCAAGAAAGTCAAGAGTGTGACTTAATTCTGCTGGGATATTTAGGTCTTCCCTGGGAAACTAATGACTAATATCTTACCTAAGTATTGCTAAACAAACAAAGACAGCAAAAATAAGGTAACTTCCATACATCTCACATCATCCAGGAATTGAACTTGGGTTCTTTCAGTTGCAAGCCGAAACTTATTAATAGTCTAATAGGAATAGGGTAATAGTTTTTTCCAGTCAATTAGTGCAACTGGAAGACTAAATACTATTTTCTTTAGTTTCAGCTGTAGTTTAGGCTGTTGACCACTGAGGCATTAAGGGTATAATATCCATAATTGCCCAGAGAATTTAACTTGTTTTTTTTTTTTTGTAGAGTAAATTTATGGTTAGTCAAGAAGAGTATTGTATCAACGCTCATTTATTTTAAGATAGCATCATACAACCTATACAAAGATTTTTACTGCTAGTGAATAGTAATTTTTACTTAAGCCTAATAATGTGTAACGTATATTTCTGATACGTATCTTGCATATCATGGTAAAAATAAAGCTTTGAGAAAAGGCAAGATAGGCTTTTTTTTTTAGAAACTTTTAATATTAGTAAATTTATATTTTAAAACCCTAGGCTTTTATTGAGTCAACAAGGCTAAGCTTTACATTGTATCAAAACTCTTGTTTGATGGAGTGATAGGGTATGCAATTTAAATATATTTGTAAAGAACTGTATAACATAATTCTTCATATTAATGTCATTCTCTAACCTGTGTTGTTTTGAATATTTCAACTAATGTTTCTCTCATGCTGTTGTGTATATATTAAAAAAGTTTGTGACATTGTAAAGCATGACACTTTATTGTGAACTAATTGTTTTATCTGTTTCCACAATGGTCTGGACTAAACAACAAATGTATTAGATAATTGTAATTGTAAAGAAAAAAAAACACAGCCTGTATGGTTCATTCAGTGCTGTATATGTTATTAAAGTTCTTACTGTAGATTATGCTTGAAGGATATTATATCTTGTAAGGATTTGAAGTCTGTGAATCTACTTGTTATTATTATTATTGGTATTATGTGTTATTATTTGTATTATCATTATTATTATTATTATTATTATTATTATTATTATTATTATTATTCACAATGTTAAACTCACTTTATATACAGAAAGTAATGTTGGTTGGGACAGCATCCCAACTTAAGAAAAATTTGTGCTTTTTGGATATATTATTATTATGCTGTATATTTACAAGTAAATATTAAACCTGTAGGGGTCATAAAGCGTGATGAAAAGAGTTTTCAAATCCCACAAGTTAAAGAATGAGACACTTGTGCAACATATGGGAATCTTTATTGAGGAAATGTTTCCTCAATATTGCCATATGTTGTGTCTGGGTCATTAAGCACCTGGTGAACAGACAGCAGTAGGATTTATCCAAGGATGGGGAGGGTAGCTCCAGTTCCTCGAATCAAGACCTCTTCAGCATGAATAGGTATCCCCCCTTGAAGGGTAAAGTGGGCTTTTACCTGTAGTTTCAAGGCTCTCTCAGCCGACCTGAGTCCATCCCCGTTCAACACTGGTATCAGGCTCTCTGGGCAGCCCACCTGAGATCATCACTGTTAACCTGGTCATCAGGCTCTCATCTAACACAGAGACTGCTGTCTTTCTATCGGGATGCCAACTGGTGCTTCTTCATTAACACTTCAGTTAAGGGTCTCCTGTAAGGACTTTTTAGTTATCAAAACCGACTTGGTCTTCTAGTACATGCATTTCTGATTAAGGGATGATGCTATTTTTATTTTTGCACTTGTTGACATCATTTTGGATTAGGATGATCTAATTTTATTTTTGCACTAGTTGACACAAACATGAAAGGATGTTGAGCTAATTACATCTGATAAGTTATGTACAAGATTGTAAAACATAATTTCAATAAAATTGGCCCAATGGTTCAGAAGTTTAATTAACAGTCAATTAAGCGAGTCCAGGAGCTGTAGATCTTCACCCTCAAGAGACCCAGAAGCTGTAGCTTAACATCCTTAAGTCCCAGAAGTTAATCTCAACACCATTAATAGGATGGAGATAAATGGCATAAAATACTGACACGGTGGAAAAGTACACAATTTCAGTATAATACGATCCTTTATGTTTTGCCTACAGAGTGGGTTTTATCAAGTCACAAACAGATCTACCTGGGCAAAGAGTACATGATTATATACAGGGTGGAGAGCCAGGTGGAGAATACACACTGGGGAGGTTGGATCTAAGACGGACCTGCATGGGATGGGCAGGTTCCTTTTTTCTTCTCCCTCTTCCCCTTTCCTCTTTCTCCTGCCTTGTGTTTTTGTTCCTTCATTTATTTTTTTATTTCATCCCCTCTGTGGGCACCTAGCTTCCTTGCAGTGCTCCTCTTTCTTAGTATGTATTTGACTGGCTCCTCCTCCTTCTTACTTCCCCACTACTGCTACTACCACTACCACTTCCTGCTTATATATACCCTTCCTGCTCTACTTCTCGTTAGTGTGACTTTGTAAATGGTCCAAATCGGACCGAAACGTCGTCGTAAACTCCTCTCTTATATGTGCGGGTTATTTGTGTATGTACTCTTTGCCCAGGTAGATGTGTTTGTGACTTAAGCCCACAACATCAGGTCCTTAAGCAAACACTATGATGACCTCCTGGCACTCCTTGAATCACTAAAGACACCCTTCTCCTGCATTATTCTTACCGAGACCTGGCTAAAACAGGACACAATAGATATCTACCCTCTACCAGGATACACAGCAATCTACAACTGCAGACCATACCAAGTTGGGGGTGGTATTGCAATCTATTACTCTAACCAATTATCTTGTATCAGCACCAATTGCTTTAGTGATGAATATGGAGAATACATTTTTGCTAATTTTACTGTAAAAAACCTTAAGACGCCTATAACAATCGGTGCCATTTACCGGATACCCCACACTAACATCCCAAACTTCAGTGAGAAATTAAAGGCACTAATAACAAACAGACAATGAATAAGCACCACCTTCTCTTAGCTGGAGACTTCAACATCAACCTTGGCCTACTAGATGATCAGCCTGAAACTGATTTCATCAACAATATGAACAACACACTTCTCATACCAACAATAACTAAACCAACCAGGCTCATTGAAACAAGTGCAACCATAATAGACCACATATGGACCAATATACTAGCCCCCCTTAAATCAGGGATAATCACAGATAGCACTACAGACCATTACCCTACCTTCCTCTTGACAAACATTAGTAAACCACCACTTGAATACAACAAAGTCTCATTTAGATTCCATGATGAGGCCTCAATAAGGAAATTCACAGCTGACCTAGAGACTGTTGACTGGCCTACAGAATTCTCCAAGGCCAATGGTATTGATGACTGGACAGACATTTTTCTTAATAAACTACTTAGACTATACAACAAACATTGTCCTATAAAACGAAACAGATCACAAACAAACGGCTTGGTTGCCCATGGCTAACCAGCACCATTCTGAAATCCATTGATAAGAAACACCAATATGAAAAGCAATATAGACAGGGCTTAATACACAAAGATATTCTTAAACACTATTCATCAGTCCTCACCAAAGAATAAAGAAAGCCAAACAACTATACTACTCCAGTAGATTCACTGACACAAGAGGAGATATAAAAAGACCTGGAAAACACTGTCTCAGATTCTAGGGACCACAAACTGAAAAAAAAACAAGAATATTGTCCTAACTCAAACCTAATGAAACACCACTGCAACCCACCGACACAGCTAACAAGATAAACGACTTCTTCTCAACCATAGGTTCTAATCTCGCCAATAAAATCCCACGTACCAATGCCCATGCCGGGGACTACCTAGATGGGAATTTCCCAAATTCCTTCTATCTTGCTCCAACTGACCCACGGAAGTCACCGAGATTATAAAGTCACTTAAAAATAACTCAGGGAATCTGTCTCATGTCCCACCATTATTGTACAAGAGAGTGGCCCATGTCCTCTGCGATACTATCTCATTTGCTTTTTAACAAGTCACTAGAAGCTAGCACCTTCCCGAAACTACTCAAGACGGCAAGGGTTACACCAATACATAAAGGTGGTGACCCTACAGATTTAAACAACTATAGGCCAATATCAAACTTACCATTGCTATCCAAAATCTTTGAGAAACTCGTGCACAGGAGACTATATTCATTTATAACGTCACAAAACATACTCAACCCCTGCCAATTTGGATTCAGGAAAAATAAAAGCACTAACGATGCAATTATAAAAATGCTAGATCTGCTTTACACAGCATTGGAAAATAAGGAATATCCACTAGGAATTTTTATTGACCTAAGAAAAGCTTTTGACACAGTAGACCACGGCATCCTACTCCACAACTTGACCATTATGGTATAAGAGGCCATGCACTTGCATATTTCAAATCTTACCTTACTAATAGGTATCAGTATGTCACCATTAAAGACACAGCATCAACAACACAGCCACTTGATACTGGAGTTCGCAGGGAAGTGTCCTTGGTCCCCTGCTCTTCCTCATATACATCAATGATCTTCCAAACGTATCTCGACACCTGAACCCCATTCTCTTTGCTGACGACACGACTTATGTCATCTCTCACCCTAATCTTGCAACCCTCAACACCATTGTTAATGAGGAGCTGATCAAAATATCGACTTGGATGACAGCCAATAAACTTACGCTTAACGTTGACAAAACCTACTAATTATGTTTGGTAGCAGAGCAGGAGATGCGCAAATTAACATTAAGATCGACAACACTCTAATTACCAGGCATAATGAGGGCAAATTCCTAGGCCTATACTCACAACAACCTGAACTTCAGCACCCATATCCAACACATAACCAAAAAAGTATCCAAAACGGTTGGGATCCTCTCCAAGATACGATACTACGTGCCGCAAACTGCCCTTCTCACACTATACCATTCACTTATATATCCATACCTCACCTATGCTATCTGTGCTTGGGGTTCAACTGCAGCAACACACCTAAAGCCAATAATAACCCAACAAAAAGCCGCAGTAAGAATAATCACTAAATCCCATCCCTGGCAACACACCCCCCCACTCTTCATAGATCTAAATTTACTCCCTGTTCAGTACATCCACACTTACTACTGTGCAATCTACATCTACAGGACCTTAAATTCCAATATTAACCTTGACCTAAAACGCTTTCTTGATAGTTGTGACAGAACCCACAGGCACAACACCAGACACAACATCTCTATGACATTCCCCGTGTCCGACTAAACCTTTACAAAAATTCATGTATGTCAAAGGCCCTAAAATCTGGAACACCCTACCTGAAAATTCCAAAACTGCAGACACATTCATCACCTTCAAAACTACCATCAGAAAACGTCTTATCTCCTGATACACCCTGTCAACTAATAATACGAATACCACCTGGTGGTTCACACTTACACTCACTCACCCATTTGACCATAAACAGAAATATCAATCTCAATCTCAAATAATGAATCTTAACTAGTCATAAGTTGGCCTGTGATACTCCAATACTGAAACTACGTATAGTGCCAAAACAAAAGCATTCACATTGCTAAACTCAAAACTAGTATTTAGTCACTTAGCCATAATACCAACTTTCTCATAATTTTGTAACATTTTAAACCTAAGATTTAATATAAGTCTGCCCAAATGCCTAGCCATGCTAGGCGTTCTAGTGGTACACTCTGTAATTATTATTTTACTACATGTAAACCACACAATAACCAAATTCTGTAAACTCAGCATTGTAATACTTTATTATTAGAAATAAAGTGTGAATTGAAATTGGGGATTAACTGGGGGGAATTATTGATTATTATAATCAGGGGAAGCACTAAACCTAATAGAGCTTATCAAGGACCTCTTGGTAGCAATACATAGGCAATAAAGTTAATTGAATTATTGCAATTTGGGAATTATTGTTTATTCTAACAGGAACCAGGATATGCAGCCTATGTAAGCAAACATAGTCAATAAGGATCACATTCGTATATTGCATTTGTCTATTTCCATCAACAGACCGAGCTGCAGCTGACATGCCGAGTCCCAATCGTTTTAGTTCAATACCATTGAGAAGCCCAGTAGCTGTAGCTCAGGACCAGGAGCTGTAAATTAAAGTTCTCAAGAGGTCCAAGAGCTGTAGCTCAACACTCTCAAGAGGTTCAACTTAATTCAAGCTGCAGAACTGCCATCCTTGCATGATCATTCTGCATTATGAAGAATATGCAGAATACATTCACTGCCAATTTGAAGCTAATACCTGCCCATTACTAGAGAAAAGTAGAGACCCTCAAATATCAGACACACATACAACAAATCTCCAAGAAAATCTCTAAGACTGCAGGCACAGTATCGAAGATACAGTACTATGCTCCACAACCAGCTCTCCTTGGCCTGTATCACTCACTCATTTACCCCTATCTCACCTATGGAATTTGTGCATGGGATTCAACAACAATAAACCATCTCAGACCACTAATAACACAGCAAAAGGCTGCAGTCAGAATGATAACAAATTCCCACTTCAGACAGCATACTCCACCAACATTCAAAAGTCTAAACTTACTCACCATAGAGAACATCCATACCTATTATTGCACCTACTACATACATAGAACACTACACTCAAATATAAACCCTCCACTCAAACTTCTTACCAACCTTAACAGGACACAAGACCAAAATACAAGGCACAGATCACTCCTTGATGTTTCCAGTGTCCATCTCACACTATATAAAAACTATGCACATAAAAGGCCCAAATACTTGGAATTCATTACCACCAAATACCTTGATGTACATCAGTTCAAGACTTCTAAAAAACCACCTACTCACCCAAAACTAATCCAAAGCTAAATACTTAGTACTTAACCTTGCTAACAAAGCTACCAAATCACTCACCACGCCTCAAGTTATAATTGCTCACTGTGTTACTCCTCTAGCCTCAGAACTCCAAAAATAAATGCTCAGAGTATAATAAATTCTCATATTTTAATGTAAATATTTTAATGCAAATGTCGAAAAAAAACATACATTTGACATAAGCATAACCTATTGTATAATTAGTGCAACCTGATTAAACTATGTTTTGTATGTCAAGTGTTAAGTAATCAGTAATCTGTTAAGTTTAGACTGCCTGTAATGCCAAGGCATGATAGCGGCTCTCTTTGCACGACAAATCGTTGTAAACCCTCACTGTAAACTACCTATGTATATAAACTTCCTACAATTGTCCTGTGTGCATTCAATGATGCTATGTAAATGGTGATCTTAAGTTCTCATTTAGTTGCTGTTAGCCCCTTTCATCAGTAGATTTAATTGATGGCACAGTGTACCCCATCTGCGGTAACACAAATCAATTATTTCACCTGCCAACTAATTCCACCTGTTCAATATACAATACTTTACCTAATAAACTCCAAATCTGAATATTCCAGATCTAAGGTTCCAGGGGTCCCTGGAACCTTAGATCTGGAATCTTGGCAATAACCTTTGCTCACTCTTCACTGACAAAAGCCAACTGTACCAATGATAGTGAGAAAAATTCAAGGAAACCTTTATTACAACATACCACAATCTAATTAATTATGAAGTTTATGCATTTGGACATAGCACTTATATTTTCTTTTGTCATCAGATGGGTAAATAAGAAACTCAGGAGATGTGGTAGATTTATTTACAATCTATAAAGTCACCTAAAAAGGTAAACATCAATATTTGAAAAACAATACAAAAAACAAACCCTGAGAGACCATCGTTTCTAAGACTGATGCTAAGTTCAAGCAATACTGGGAAGGATCTGAAATCTCCTCCAAACTTTTTTTTTTTTTTTGTTTCTGAACTTCAAAAAGTAGATCAATAAAATTGATTAATCTATATTTAAACTATTAAAAAAAACTAGTGCACTTAAGTTAAAAGCTCTAATGTAACCTCTTCTCTAAAGTGTGTGACAAACTGCATCCAAGTTCTTCATGTGTCCCTCTTTCACATCATAAAAGCTCGTATAAACAGCTCTGTACATTGACATCCTTGAGAAATTCAACAGCAATTTCTCAATCACTGATGACTGGATAAGAATGAAGCACTGCAACATGATTTTAATTATAAATATAAGTATTTTGCATTATTTTTATATACTGTTGGTACCTTGTTTAAAGACTCCCCTGCATAGAATAACTCTTCAAATCCTACCCATAGCCTTGCAGATGAGCACCACTGTAGTTTCTTTTTAATATTAAAACACCAAGACACTACAAAAGGGACATTAAGCTTTAGTAAACAAAAATTGTCATAATTAGTTTAGATAATATTTTAATCTACTGCAAACATCGGTTACAACCTTACTAGTGAACATAATGGTATATATTACATTAATGAATAATTGAACAATAAGATTAGGTAAAAATTAAATGCATATAGTCTATATAATTACAAATATGTTGGCTGCAGGAAGCTTTGTAAGTCTGCGTGATAATCTTGAGCATTACTCGTCGTGAGGGAGAGGGAATTTGGTGGTCATTCATCATCAAACTACATTATACAGTATCAGAAATTGTGTTGCTTTTCAGCAAGTGAAAAATGGCTGCAATATTTTAGTTTGGTGTTAAGTAGCATGGTGATGGAGTAGTATGATTTGTGTTTGCCTGTAGCTTGGTGATACAGAAGCACAGTGACACAGAAGCATGGATGCACATGCTTGTAGTTTAGTGATGCAGTGGTATTGTTTGTATGCTTGCCTGTAGTTTGGGAATGCAGTTGTCAGTAGTGCACTACTGACACAGTAATATTGTTTGTATCTTTATAGTTTGGTGATGCAGTAGTGTTGTTTGCGTGCCTATAGTTTCGTGACAATATAGTAATAGGGTATCTACATACAAAGTTCGGTTACATCTTGCCAAAAAGAGTACGGAGGTCATGAATTATTGGTAATTCTATGATTGATGGTCAAGCCCGAAGTGTACTGATGACCCCACTATGCAACAGTACAGGTGGGGTACAAATAAGTACTCTACTGAGCAGTGTTGCAATTTGAAGTACTGTGCCTCTATGATCCCATAATTTTATGTATTAACCTAAAGTGCACTGCTGGCTGCTAATTGTGATTTATTAGTCTGGAGTATAGTGATTACTCAACAGAGTGATGCATTATCTTAAAACATCTTAGTATAGTGATAATGCCAAAAGGTGATGCCATCTTAGAGAATGGTGAAGGCTCACCATGGCAGACTGTGGTTATGACTCCACATTCTGAAACACAACTGTTGGTTTTGGGAAATGAATTAACCAAGTAGAGCACCATTTTGTATTAGAGGTGCATAACAACTTGACACTGGTGATGATACAAGGGGCAGATATGCTATACTTGAAGTGGGATAATCAGGTCTGACTGAAGCATAAAAATAGTTAACACTTGAACCTCACAGCACATGAATATTTTGTAACGGATAACACCAAAGGAGTTCATAGTTTACAAATAATGTAATAGAGAACAATGTCTCTATTTCTACAGCTAAACTGCATTGTGTTAAATATTTTTGTCATATTTCAACAATATCATGAAAGCATATCACTCATTAGTGTTTACAGTTAAACCATACACATTCAGATTGATCTATCTTGAGTATATTATCACAGACACTTCGTTAACTGGGCCATAATTAACATTCTTAATTTAGTTCAATTTTAAGTGAAATTTTATCCTCATCCACTTAAATAAATTATCTTATTTCCTGTGAACTAATTTTAGCACATCCACTTGTTAGATATCTTGAGAGTGAATATCAGTTTAATTAAGACTGTCAACTACTTGACTCCGTCTTACTCTTCCCTCCTCGCTCCTGGCTCTTCCTTACTCCTACAAAATGTTATACTGTTGGTAAGGAGGTATAACATCATCATCTCCTTTTTCATCAACATTTAAAAACTCAAAATATTCTCTCCACTGTGCCAGAAAGTCCAATGCCCCATTGACTACCAAATACATTTGCTTCCCACACTTTCTCAACTTACCTCTCTCCAAAACTGTTGATTATTTTCAGCAAAATTAGCTGATACATTTATACACATATGTATGTGTGTATGTATGTATGTTGTTAATACATTGGTTGTCTCCCACTGAGGTAAGATATAGAAAAAAGGAAACATCTTCACTGTTAATCATTCCACGACTGTCTTACCAGAAGCACACAAACATCACGGTTCAGATGGCCCTGCACACATCCATGCAGTACTCTCATAAATCACAGGGGTTAAAGCTATTGAAAAAATATTTACTGTTCTTTGAATAATTGCACATTAAACCATTTTTTTTTTAAAGAAAACTCTCAGCCAACATTAAAATTTCAGTATTGTAGTATTGTATGCACAGCATGTTAAACTATTTTGAGATGTTTTAACAATGTATGTCCCATGGGCAAGCAATTTCAAGAACCTACTGGGTTACTGCATTATGCTCTCAGAAAATATTCTAATATTTAAGCAAAACACCAAGGATAAATTATTTAGGGAACGTTTACTTGAAGGGAATAGTATAATACAACAGAATGATCATCTCTGATGGTTACTACATGATGATGGTCACTATACAAGGATAATTTCCAATTTCCAATCATATTCAGAGCTCATAAGAAATAATGTCAAATGGATTAATGCATTCCTCAGCCCTAATTTTCCATATTTAATTTCGGTTAGTGTTTTCCCACATTAATTTTTCACCCGGTCTTTTACCTTTAATATGCTTTAACAAATGAATATTTCTACAATGTGTTCACATTAAATAAACAATAAAATAATACTGTATAACTAAATTATTTAACAATACGTTGAGTATACTATTTACCTCGAATGTTGATCCTGTCTTGCTCATTGGAAGGGCTGTTTCTTGATTATATTAAGCTTAGTAAATAGACCCACCAATGAAAATGCAAGTCACTTTTTTGCACGTAATTAACTATAGTAGTTCCAAGAAACAATGTTGAGTGTGCAAAACATCATTAATCAGGGTCATACTGTACTGTATATAATTTTTCAACAAATAAGCCATGTGTTTCTGCAGTCTATCCATAAAAGGTGTGAGAGATAGTAAGATAATTATAAACTGGGAAAGCGTCTTGCTTGTGGCCATCATCTCGCTGAAAATTTGTAGAGGAAGCAAGAGATTGTATAAGTTGTTAAATGTAGAGATGTTTAAATTGAAAAAAAAAAAAAAAAATAAGGTCAGCTACTGTACAGTCATACCCCGCTTTATGTCATTTCAGTCTACATCAAATTCGCCTTGACACCACTTTTCTAAAGTAAATTTCAGTTCAGTGAACATTGTTACATCCGACTTTACATCACTCAGCAACGTCACCTACGTCATAATTTTTTTAACTGTGTTCATTATTCTTTAAAAATATGACTAAAATGTGCTTTTAGTGTTCTTTAAGGTTTAGCAATAGTTATAGTTTTACAGTGTTTGTTGTCATTTTAAGGTATTTTTAGGGCATTATGTCTAGTTCACGTCAAAAACCGGATTATGTCACAACTCTAGGAATCAATTAATGATGTAGGGCGGGGTATGACTATTTAATTTTGATGATATTTGTATCCCTTAAATTTTCTGAACTACACCAAGTTGTACTAAACAGTGAGCAAATGTATCTCTTTATTCCTTAAAAAAACATATATAACAAAATGATTTGTATTATTTAAGGATCTGAAATTTTGAAAATGCTGATCTTGCAAAGATTTAGAATTTTCTGTTGTGAATATTACATGAACAGATAAAATAAATATCTTCATAACAGCAGACAGGGCTACTGGATACCAAAATTAAGCCATATTTTGATATATTAACTTAGTAACTTTGCTTCAAATTTAAAAAAAATATTTAAATATTTTCTAAAATTCACACTACCATCTTCGTTAGAAAAATTAATTCAATATAAATCTGAATTTAATATACAGGAGGACCTTGCTTGTACAGCAGGTGGGTTCTGGGCTACTGCTCTAAACCAAAATTCACTGTAAAGTCAAACAGCTTTTTTTTCACATTCAAATACAGTGGACCCCCGCTTTATGTTCAGCTCCCAATGCGACCAATTATGTAAGTGTATTTATGTAAGTGCGTTTGTATGTGTATGTTTGGGGGTCTGAAATGGACTAATCTAATTCACAATATTCCTTATGGGAACAAATTCGGTCAGTACTGGCACCTGAACATACGTCTGGAATGAAATAATATCGTAAACCGGGGTCCACTGTACACATAAAAGCTTGATAACATGTTTACACTATCATGTGTTAAGTGAGCAACAGAGTTAGGCCTAAAAAATGTATATACAGTACATGCATTACTTATTGAAAATATTTTCAATTTTAGCTTATAGTGAGTAGTGAAGAATAATTATAACTGAAAACCGTTGCACTGACGAAATGCTGTAAAGCGGGGCACTCCTATACTGCATCTTATGGCCTAGCTCTATTGCTCACTTAATATATGATAGTGTAAACGTGCTATCAGGCTTTCATATGGATTTGAAAGTGAAAGAAAACTATGATTCACTTTACAGTGGTAGCCTGGAACCTAACCTGCTGTATAAGTTTGGCCCTTCTATATGTTATAAAACAGTAAAGTACTGTATTTAGGATACAGTCCTCTACTAAAATACACTACATTATATATTTATGTAATTTGCAACATTCAGAAAATATATTTGTCAACCACTATTGAAATAAACCGAAAATTAAGTTAAAAATTATTTCTAGGTTTTATATTCTGTTACGATGCATGATGCTGTACCTACGTTTCATTGACTACCATTACATAAGTAACTATCATCAGATATGACGTTCTGTTTCTGTAGGTCTTCACACGTGTAACATCTTCGAACAATAACACAAAACTGGTTAATTTGTTATCCTTCATTAACAAGGATTCTTCTCTTTCCAGCTTCATATTTTACATGACATCCTTGACTTTTTATTAATGTTTCTAATAATATTTTCATAAGGGTAATGACATTGCTATCTGCATTGTCATTTGGCTCATTAAGAAGGCAGGGTCCCTCCTGATAACATGTGATCCAAAATGCTCCACTTGGAGGCTTTGTCTTTTAAATAAAAATACTACTACTATGGAGTGGCTTAGTAAGGGAGTGCAACCTAAATAAGGTTACAGGCTATTACCCACTGCATAAGCTACATCAAACTGTAACAGCTGATATTTAGAAAACTGGCACAGTCATAATTACTATGAATACAGTGTCAACTGAAAAAAGAAGTACGAAGAATAACTGTAGGTGTTGATGGGTTTATCTTCATCTTAATAAAATGAATTTGAAAAACAAGCCTACGAGTAACACAAATAAAACTTACAATTAACACAGTCACTGGAACTTCAAATTAACACAGTCACTGGAATTTCCAATTAACACAGTCACTGGACTTCCAATTAACAGTCATTAGAACTTCCAATTAACACAGTCATTGGAACTTCCAATTAACACAGTCATTTGAACTTCCAATTAACAGTTACTGGAACTTCCAATTAACAGTCACTGGAACTTCCAATTAACACAGTCACTGGAACTTCCAATTAACACAGTCACTGGACTTCCAATTATACAGTCACTGAAATTTCCAATTAACAGTCATTGGAACTTCCAATTAAGTCACTGGAACTTCCAATTAACAGTCATTGGAACTTCCAATTAACAGTCATTGGAACTTCCAATTAACAGTCATTGGAATTTCCAATTAACAGTCATTGGACCTTCCAATTATCAGTCATTGGAACTTCAATTAACACAGTCACTGGAACTTCCAATTAACAAATTCCAATTAACATAGTCACTGGAACTTTTAATTAACAAAGTCATAGGAACTCTCAATTAACAGTCATTGGAACTTGCAATGAACACAGGCATTGGAACTTCCAATTAACACATGCATTGGAACTTCAAATTAATATAACCAAATAATCATTGGTAAAATTAAAGCCAAATATACCAGTTCATAGACATTCATTAGTTTGAATACTGAGAAGGTTTATGATACTGCCATTACTATCTCTAGCTATTCCCTGCTATGCATCATGCCATAAGGCTATTGCTTGTGCAATCAGTAATGCAGTCAGCCATTCAGATTAATGAGGTGTCTATTCTGCAAAAATTGTGAACTATGACAAATACTGATGGCAACCTATAAATAAATTTGAGTTCTCTCATTTTTTGCCAACTTTTTGGGGCTTCTCGCATCATTATTAAATTGAGAAATTAATCACTGAATTTCACTCAAGTTGTACTCAAAGTATATTTACCCATACTCAAACCTCTTTTCTCTCTGCTCATTCTTTTTTTTTTGTCAAAATAAACCAAATTACAGCTAATAATTAAGAGACAGAGCTTCCAGAATACAAAATGAAAGCAATTTTTAAACAAGATTCACAGATTCTCGATTCATGAGACTCTAGGAATGTAACTCACAAACTTGGGGAGGCTGACTATACTTTTTAATGTATATAGTTTATCATACTTTTCTGAGTTACTGTACAGAGTACAGTATTTACACTGTACAGTATTATAATGTATAGTATAGTCTCAATGGGAGACGGCCAGCGTGTTAAAAAAATTACTTTATACATAGAAAATGAAAAAAAAATGGCTAGAAAATGTAGCTTCATCTTCAGAAAGCTCCTCATTATGTAAAGTAACAATAGCATGACCAGTCCTGATGCTTATGGATTAATTGTACCATATTATAAATGCACATTTACTTCTAAAAATCACTCATCTCAAACATTCACCAAGTTGAATACAATTTGCACCATATTTTGCCTTACTGATAATGTATTAGCCAAAATATAAGATGAAATGCTGAAAATATGTATTAGCTAAAATATCAATATCCTCTTACATCTGTTCAACATACAGCTAATGCCTTAAAATGTAATTTTTATGGTAAGTATTCTAATTTGAAGGAAAAAAAATATTGGTTAGGGACTGGGCTGCAGGGGCATTGACCCCCGAAACCCTCTCCAGGTATAGAAATTTCGGGATCATGAACGCCTAGGCCTGTTTCCCATAGCCTTCACTAGTAGGGCCTGTTCTGAGGTGAGCCACTGTGGGCCTGCCTTCCTCTAAACTACTGCACCAGACAAGGTACCAGCAAGAGCTGCCTGAATAAACTCTCTCTCATGTTGAGGCATGACCTGACCCCTAAGAGTGACATCACTACCAAGAGTGACATCATTACCAAGAGTGACATTACCACTAAGAGTGACATCACCAAGAGTGACATCGCTACCATATGTTTTGACAAGATTTCCCACTGACTTGAGCAAGAATTACTGTACTGAAGTTTAACTATCCTTCAGACAAACTGAAGTCTGAGACTGACACAATAAGATCCAGTTCTAAATTTTGCCTCTGTGTATATGTGTGTGCATGATAACCATTGGGATAACACTCAAAAGACCCTCTAAGGATATTTTAAATACTTATTTGAAACTTAAGGACCAAGATATACTTCATGAATTAAATTGAGAGGAAACTTACATCACAGAGGACCACTATTACTGCTTATGCATGCTAATAAAAGCTGCCTTTTTAAGGCCACTGATAAGTCTCCTCAGGCCTTTTTATATAATTTTAATTGAAAAATGAGTTGTGCCATTGACTGTGGAAATTCCAGACCGAGGATGAGCTAACCTGCTACACAAGAGGAAACAATATATGAGATAATGAGCAACATGAAATTACACCAGGAATCACTTGGTACACTTATTTCTTAAATGCTGAAATTACATATCTGAAATGTAATCTGATATTTACTTTCTGAAATGCAGCTGTTGCAGATTACTTATTAACAAAGATGCATGCTAACAATTATCAATTCTAAAATATATAACATTCTTCAGAGACAGCTTCAAGGTATACAGTAATAACATACAGTACGTGAAACTGTGAAACTGAAATTATCATCACAAGATATCCTAAATGACATTCCAATATGGTGTACATACAAATCTAAAAAATACTAATGTGCAATTACAGCAATGAAAACAAAGGTAACAAATATTCTGACATGCAACATGGAGCAGGGGTAAAAAAATAACATGTTAGTCTCCGTCACTGCCTCTTACAATGCATAATTAATCACATCAAATATTATTGTGCTAATTTGTCTTGTCCTCTTCATTCTTCGGAGACTTTCACAGCAGTGTGTTGCCACTACTCTCACGTGTTTTATCTGTCAAGGTTTCATAACATTTATACCACATTCATACTAACATATCATTTGTATACTGCACTATGTCTTCAAACTTGTGCCAGACATTCAGAACACACATTCATAGCAGCATTAAAAGGTGAAATGACACACTTTATTTAGGACACACAAAGAGCTTGCACACTGTCCTTGGGTAATTCAATCACTGATCCACTCACAGCACATCACATCCTAAGTTACAGCATGATTAATGGTTTGCATACATCCTTAATCAATGATACGCTCACAGTACATACTATGTCATATCATGATTTATAGCCTTAACACATCATTAATCATTCCATACCTGTAGGCTCTTAAAACACATTTAATGCTAAATCCGTTCCAGCCATTCATAACAAAAACATCATTATGGCTTACGTAAAAAATTTTCACAAGACATCTGCTTCCATAATGCTTTCATCTTCTTCCACATCTCTATTGAGATATCCCCCAATCAGAGAATCTAGCCGTTGAGCTGGAATGCCCCGCGGTTCTGCTACTTTTGCCACTAAGTCTCCTTCCTCCAGCATCTGTCCTGCTTGAATTTTACGTGCAGCTACGAGCGTCTTACCAAGCTGGGGACAAATCACAAACAATGTAGAGCAGGAGTGAATTTACTGGGAAACTGGACAAGGTTTACAGCCACATCAGAAGAAAAATGTGAGTAACAGATCAATGGATTGGTCTAAAGTAAAAAGTATGGGAGCTGTTAATGACAAGGAAGATGCTGATGAACTGAACACTGTAAAAGATTCCTGGAGGTACTCATTTTTTTTTTATTAAAGGTAAACGGGTGCCGAATGAGAAGTGTAACCCCACCACAATGCTGGAGTACACAATTAAAGAAATAAATCAGAGTGCAGGCACGTAATGACGCGGATATGCAAAGACAAGGAGGTTTCACTGAAAACTTGAATTTTGTGGTCACAGTAAGCCCATTAACTTCCCTGTCATCTATCAGAAAGTACCTATGCTGGAAGTGACTCCTAGAGACCTAAACTGGCTGACCTGCCTCATTGCACTGGCCTGTGCTGTTTTAGGATTACTGCTATATATCCTGAAAGAGTTCGTCATCACTAATTCGAACATCTTAAAACATTACTAACAGACGGACAACACTAATGGATGGAAACATTACAAATGAATCTCTCAATATTTACAAAAAAGGTTCCAGATAGAAGACATAATCCTACAAACTTTCCTTCACTTGCATATCCTGCTTCGCATCAGAAAGTATGAAATGGAATAACATCCCACTACGGAAAGAATGAATTTCATTATGGCTTAAGATCACAAGTTCTGTTAAGAATAAAGTCCTCCCTCACTCAATGTATTTCATAGATTCATAAATATGTGCATGAAAATATGGTAAGTGAAATGCACATTCCTACAGTATTACTCTCTGGTAGTCCAATACTGTATACAGATTTTTGTAATAAACTGGTATATGTACTTGATTGGCTAAAAATATACATACCTTATTTAATAAATTGACAGTGAAAAATCATAGAGAAATATCAGGATGAAGAGAAAAGTAACAGGTGAAACTCCAAGAGTCAATATTTTTTTTTTATTATTACCACCACTGCCAATTCCACCAAGGCAGGGTGGCTGAAAAAGAAAAACTTTCACCATCATTCATTCATCACTGTCTTGCCAGAAGGGTGCTTTACACTACAGCTTTTAAACTGCAACATTAACACCCCTCCTTCAGAGTGCAGGCACTGTACTTCCCATCTCCAGGACTCAAGTCCGGCCTGCCGGTTTCCCTGAACCCTTCATAAATGTTACTTTGCTCACACTCCAACAGCACGTCAAGTATTAAAAACCATTTGTCTCCATTCACTCCTATCAAACACGCTCACGCATGCCTGCTGGAAGTCCAAGCCCCTCGCACACAAAACCTCCTTTACCCCCTCCCTCCAACCTTTCCTAGGCCGACCCCTACCCCCTTCCTTTCACTACAGACTGATACACTCTTGAAGTCATTCTGTTTCGCTCCATTCTCTCTACATGTCTGAACCACCTCAACAACCCTTCCTCAGCCCTCTGGACAACAGTTTTGGTAATCCTGCACCTCCTCCTAACTTCCAAACTACGAATTCTCTGCATTATATTCACACCACACATTGCCCTCAGACATGACATCTCCACTGCCTCCAGCCTTCTCTTCGCTGCAACATTCATCACCCATGCTTCACACCCATATAAGAGCATTGGTAAAACTATACTCTCATACATTCCCCTCTTTGCCTCCAAGGACAAAGTTCTTTGTCTCCACAGGCTCCTAAGTACACCGCTCACCCTTTTCCCCTCATCAATTCTATGATTCACCTCATCTTTCATAGACCCATCTGCTGACATGTCCACTCCCAAATATCTGAATACATTCACCTCCTCCATATTCTCTCCCTCCAATCTGATATCCAATCTTTCATCACCTAATCTTTTTGTTATCCTCATAACCTTACTCTTTCCTGTATTCACTTCGAATTTTCTTCTTTTGTACACCCTACCAAATTCATCCACCAATCTCTGCAACTTCTCTTCAGAATCTCCCAAGAGCACAGTGTCATCAGCAAAGAGCAACTGTGACAACTCCCACTTTATGTGTGATTCTTTATCTTTTAACTCCACGCCTCTTGCCAAAAATATCACAAATATCAAAATGGTATACAATACTGACAGGTTGGTAAGTAAGACACAGGTAACAGTTAGGCATCTTTATTCTGAAGCATTTCGCCTGTGCAGTAGGCTTCTTCATTTGAGTACAGAAAGTAGGCAGGAGCAGTAGACATGTGAAGACAATGTAATCAGTTCATCACCCTTGAAGATGTAGATCTGAGGTTGTCAGTCCCTCAGCCTGGAAAAGAGTTCTGTTCCATAGTCTGAAACAATGTGAAGAGTTCTATGGAACAGAACTCTTCTCCAAGCTGAGGGACTGATAACCTCAAATCTATGTCTTCAAGGGTGATGAGCTGATTACATCTTCACATCTCTATTGCTCCTGCCTACTTTCTGTACTTGACTGAAGAAGCCTACTGTGTAGGCGAAACATTTTGGAATAAAGATGCCTAACTGTTGCCTATGTGTCTTACCTGGAGTTTACCTGGAGAGGGTTTCGGGGGTCAATGCCCCCCCGGCCCGGTCTGAGACCAGGCCTCATGGTGGATCAGGGTCTGATCAACCAGGCTGTTACTGCTGGCCGCATGCAAGCTGACGTACAAATCACAGCCCGGTTGGTCGGGTACTGACTTTAGGTGCCTGTCCAGTGCCTTCTTGAAGACAGCCAGGGGTCTATTGGTAATCCCCCTTACTTACCATTTATATCCATGTTGGACCCATTCTGTTACTATATATATGAATGCTGCTATTTGCAGATTATGTGGAACTAATGAAAATAAAAGAAATAGAAGAGAATTGCAAAAACTGCACAATATGAACAAGCAGAATTAAAGATCTGACAAGTGGCTACTTGAATTCAACCCTGAAAAAGCAAGGTAAAGATGAAAGCAGGTGGAAAGGGTTATCATACTAAAAAACCAAGAAGATAGGAACTGTACTGTACAAGAATCAGTCAACAGTGAGTGAGCAAAACATCTGGAGAGGAGAAAGCAAACTCCATACATGTACACATTATACCGAGATGCAAATACTATACCACAAAAAATCATTGTTTTAATGAAGCATCACACTGGCTGATTAATTGGCAAGAGGTGGTCTCAGGAGTTCATTTCCTGCAAACAATTTAGCGAATACAGAACACAAGGGAAATGAATACCTGGAGTTTACCTGGAGAGAGTTCCGGGGGTCAACACCCCCGCGGCCCGGTCTGTGACCAGGCCTCCTGGTGGATCAGAGCCTGATCAACCAGGCTGTTACTGCTGGCTGCACGCAAACCAACGTACGAGCCACAGTCCGGCTGGTCAGGAACCGACTTTAGGTGCTTGTCCAGTGCCAGCTTGAAGACTGCCAGGGGTCTGTTGGTAATCCCCCTTATGTATGCTGGGAGGCAGTTGAACAGTCTCGGGCCCCTGACACTTATTGAATATAACCAATGTGATAAAAAGGAATGTGCAACTGATCTTCAACAATTTTAAACATGAAAAAATCTGCGAGTATAAGCATTTCACATAACTACAGGTAATTAATGCACACTGTTTTTACCTGATGACTGGCAAATCTGGGGCCCATTATTGCTGAAGTGTGCCCAAAAAAGGTTGTTTTCTTTCTCTGCCCGTGTATTTGTATAATGAATTTATAGTACCATTACGGGTGATGTTATAGTGCCATTATAGGTGATGTTATAGTACCATTATAGGTGATGTTATAGAGCCATTATAGGTGATGTTATAGTGCCATTATAGGTGATGTTATAGTACCATTATTGTTAATGTTATAGTACCATTATGGGTTATGTTATAGTACTATTACAGGTGATGTTACAGTACCAATATAGGTGATGTTATAGTACCATTATAGGTGATGTTATAGTACCATTATAGGTGATGTTATAGTACCATTATAGGTGATGTTACAGTACCAATATAGGTGATGCATGCCAAGATAATGTTATATGATGAAGAACTTGATGAAGTAGCCATATAGCTTCTACTTTTCACACATTTTAAAAACATAAAAACAAAAAAGTACAATGCATATATGACTATTAAGCACCAAAAATGTATGCAAATCTAGATATACACATTGAACATAAAAAATATCAAAGACAAAGCATCACTAACTTTTGCAAAACAAGCTTCCTCGCATGGCTGAAAAGCTTTAAGTGGACTGCCAAGAGCAGCTTCCACACTTCTGATTGCCCTAATTAATTCTCTTAAATCATGTGGTTCCAGCGAGCACGAATGATCACTCCCCTTCCAATTCCGGTTAAGAGTCATGTGGCGCTCCACCACCTGCAAAATTGTACAACAGTAAAACAAAAAGTGTTGGTAGTGCAGAAATGAATAACTGGAGTGGGTACTGTTCATGTGTAAGAAATTTTTTTGGATTATAAAAAGAAATCCCTATTATGGGCAACCACATTTTATGGTATGGAGACTGAGAGATCCAGTAATGATTACATAGGCTACATTAGCTAGTTTCTAATGCCAGGGCATGGAATAACTGAAAGATGTTAATAAATAGCTGACTGACTGATCACCTCAAAATTACCTCACTTATAATGCCTGTATTTGACTGAAGAAGCCTGCTGTGCTGGGAGAACATTTTGACAATAAAGATATACAAGTGTAGCACATGTCTTACTCATCATGTAAGCCCCTCTGTACTGAGCAGCATGGATGAATGACTCCTCCAAGGGTTTACAACTTTTCATGATGATAATGTAATAAAAATATCTATTAATATTATCCTTGAACATTATCTCATAACTAGCTTTCCTACTTTGAGATAATACGAGTCGTAATTAAATACTGTAGCTATAAAGTGAGTGACATTTATTTAATTACTTTTTTTTTTTTTACCACATCAGCTGTCTCTCACCATGGTAAAGTGACCCTAAAAAAAAAAGGAAACATTCATTAAACTGTCCAAATGTAGATCTATGATTTTTCAACATTTGAAAGTATGTAAAAAAAGTAGATTTTTTTTTTTTTTTTACATTTGAAAATGTGTAAAAAAACTTTGATTTTTTTTTTTTTGTTATATTTGAAAATATGTAAAAGAAATGTAGATCTACTTTTGGAGCACTACGCATGTGAACATAGATCTGCTTGGACAGTTTAAGGCTTAATGACTTCTTACCAAAAGTGAACAGATGTCAAAAATGAAATGACCTTCTGAACTGTAACATTTCCACCTCTCCTACACAGAGCAGGCACCACCCACTTCCACGACTCAACTCCAGCGATCCTGGATCCCTTCATAAATGTTACTTTGCACACACTCAAACAGAACATCAAACCCTAAAATCTAATTGTCTCCATTCAGTTTAATCTAACATTCTCATGCATGTTTGCTAGATGCTCAAAACCCTACCTGGGACAAGCCCCCTAGTCCTTCCCTCTCTCCCAGATTTATACACCTTGGTCATTCTGTTTCTCTCTATCCTCTCTAAATGCTCAAACCACTTCAAGAACCACCTCTGTCCTCAGAATTATATCTTCTCTAAGCCCACAAAATCTTCTAATTTCTACTTTCAGAAGTTTTTGAAAAATGGTCATACCAATCCTCTCAAATTAAACTAATTGTACATAAAATCAGTAGTTAACATCATTTTTATTACTAACAAATAGGAGTCATTCATATACCCTTCATGGCTAATTGTGCTACAGCTATATCATATAGTAATTCATTCCACTTCTAATCAATCACGACTTATGTCATCTCTCACCCTAATCTTGCCACCCTCAACACCATTGTTAACGAGGAGCTGATCAAAATATCGACTTGGATGACAGCCAATAAACTTATGCTTAACACTGACAAAACCTACTATATTATGTTTGGTAGCAGAGCAGGAGTTGCGCAAATTAACATTAAGATCGACAACACTCTAATTGCCAGACATAATGAGGGCAAATTCCTAGGCCTATACCTCGACAACAACCTGAATTTCAGCACCCATATCCAACATATAACCAAAAAAGTATCCAAAACGGTTGGGATCCTCTCCAAGATACGATACTACGTGCCGCAAAATGTCCTTCTCACACTATACCACTCACTTATTTATCCATACCTCACCTATGCTATTTGTGCTTGGGGATCAACTGCAGCAACACACCTAAGCCAATAATAACCCAACAAAAAGCTGCAGTAAGAATAATCACTAAATCCCATCCCTGGCAACACACCCCCCCCACTCTTCATAGATCTAAACTTACTCCCTGTTCAGTACATCCACACTTACTACTGTGCAGTCTACATCTACAGGACCTTAAATTCCAATATTAACCTTGACCTAAAACGCTTTCTTGATAGTTGTGACAGAACCCACAGGCATAACACCAGACACAAACATCTCTATGACATTCCCCGTGTCCGACTAAACCTTTACAAAAATTCAATGTATGTCAAAGGCCCTAAAATCTGGAACACCCTACCTGAAAACTCTAGAACTGCAGACACATTCATCACCTTCAAAACTACCATTAGAAAACATCTTATCTACCCGATACACCCCGTCAACTAATTACACGAATACCACCTGGTGGTTCACACTTACACTCACTCACCCATTTGACCATAAACAGAAATATCAATCTCAATCTTAAAATAATGAATCCTAACTAGTCATAAGTTGGCCTGTGATACTCCAATACTGAAACTATGTATTGTGCCAAAACAAAAGCATTCATATTGCTAAACTCACAAACTAGTATTTAGTCACTTAGCCATAATACCAACTCACCTCATAATTTGTAATATTTTAAATTTAAGAATTAATCTAAGTCTGCCTGAAATGCCTAGCCATGCTAGGTGTTCTAGTGGTACCCTCTGTAATTATTATTTTACTACATGTAAACCACACAATAACCAAATTCTGTAAACTCAGCATTGTAATCCTTATAGAGAATAAACTTTGAATTTTAAATAACAAATTACTCTTCTTTAATAGTCACTTACCCTGGCCCCGCGAGCCACAGCTGCAATAGTAACATGGATTCCTAACTCATGTCCAGAATAGCCAATGTGGGCATGGGGAAACATCTGAGCATATGTATCTAACACTCTGAGGTGGGTTTGTTCTGGGGGTGTAGGATAGGCAGATGTGCACTGCAGGAAGACGAGGGGTGTTGGTGGGTCGTTCAGTATAGTGAGTTCCTCGTAGACTTGAGATACCCAGGCTATGTCTGACATTCCTGTCACAAGGCAATGTATAATGGTTTAGAAAATAAGACAAACATTTTCTAAATGAACTAAAGGAGAATTTACCTAAGAATTCATCTTCAGTATAGCAATTTATTAATTTATTATTATATTCATGGGAAGCACTAAACCTGTAAGGCTCATAAAGTGCCTGTACATAAAAGTTTGATCTGAGGATAGAAAGGGTAACTCCAGTTCTTTGGAACAAGAGCCCTTCTTTATGAATACACCCCCTTGATGGGGAGTGCATTGATGCTGGTACATTGATACCAACTTCAGGATCTCCTTAATAAAATATAGTGAGTAAACAGGTTTGTCTTTTTCTCATATTTGATGGCAAGTTCTGTCTTCAAATATTAAGCAGTTGATGGCTCAAAAATATAAGTACTGCATATTTATTACTGTGAGTATTGAATGTGGCACTGACCTGTTGAAATAACTAGAGGCTTACTGCAAGCTGCAGCTGTACGAAGTAAAGGCAGGTTGTGTACGTCTCCTGAGCCCACCTTTATAAAAGGAACTTGCAGCTCATGTAACACATACAATGTTGGCTGTGGGAAAATTATTATAAGTGCTTTACATTAATGTGCACACGTATGCACACACATGCACTCACGCACACACTCACTCATGCATGCACGGGTACACACACACATTCATCTCCCGGTTGAGGGGACTGACCACTGGAAACTACTTCTTCAAGGTTGATGGACTGATCACCACACCATCTTTACTGCTCCACTGCTTCTGCTGTCTCCATATTTGCCACTTCTGTATATGACTGATGAAGCCTACTGTGTAGGCGAAACATTTCTGAATAAAGATGCTTAACTGCTGCACATGTCTTCCTGATCTGCTTGTTAATATCGTATAGCATTAATATATTCACAATACCAGAAAGGCTAAGGAACAGAGAACACTGACAAGTAATGGACAACATCCACACAACAGAGGAAGAGGTAAAGTAACTGATGCGCTTGTACATAAGGGCAACAGGACCTGACAACGTTTCACCAATGATTCTGCAAGAGGGTGCAGAAGCATTGTCTAAACCACTAGTTTTGGTCCACACTAAGTGAATGGATACAGAACAGTTACCAGAGATCTGGAAGACACCAAATGTAGCCCCTGTATTTAAGAAAAGAGACAGATGGGACGCATTAAACTAGACACTGGTTTTTTCAACACATACTTTTCAAAGTAATAGAAAAACTTGTCGGGAAAGACTGGTAGAACACATGGAGACAAATCGTTTTATAAAGAATAACCAGCATGGATTTATGGATGGCAAATTTTGTTGGAGTTCTATGACAACAGTAACAGGTGTGCAACAAGAGAGAGAGGATTGGGCAGACTGCATTGTTTTAGACTGCAAAAAGGCCTTTGAGACTGTACCCCACAAGAAATTAGGCCAAAAACTTTAGATTCAGGCAGGAATAAGAAAGAACATACTTTGGTGGATCAGAGTATCTTAGGGGAAGGAAGCAAAGAGTGATCGAGAGCACTTTGAAGCATTTTCTGACATACCTCATTTTTTAGGTAAAATACTACGTACTTTTTTTTTTTTCAACGTACAAGCCATATCCCACTGAGGTGGGGTGGCCCAAAAGGAAAAACGAAAGTTTCTCCTTTTAAATTTAGTAATACATACAGGAGAAGGGGCTACTAGCCCCTTGCGCCTGACATTTTAGCCGCCTCTTACGACATGCAAGGCTTGCGGAAAAACAAGTCAAATCATATTCTTTTTTCTTTCAAGTAGGAACTAGCAGGGTTCTGCTAGTTCAGTACTGATTCTGGTTTATGTGAATGACATTTCAGATGGAAATGATTTAGACATATCCCAGTTTGCTGATGATGTAAAAGTAATGAGGAGAATAAAAGCAGATAAGAACAAGAAAAGGCTCCAAAGTTTTTTTTTTTTTTTTTTTTTTTTAGCAAGTCGGCCGTCTCCCACCGAGGCACGGTGACCCAAAAAGAAAGAAAATCCCCAAAAAGAAAATACTTTCATCATCATTCAACACTTTCACCTCACTCACACATAATCACTGTTTTTGCAGAGGTGCTCAGAACAAAACACTTTAGAAGCATATACGTATAAGGATACACAACATATCCCTCCAAACTGCTAATACTCAAACCCCTCCTTTAGAGTGCAGGCATTGTACTTCTCATTTCCAGGACTCAAGTCCGGCTATATAAAAATAACCGGTTTCCCTGAATCCCTTCACTAAATATTACCCTGCTCACACTCCAACAGATCGTCAGGTCCCAAATACCATCGCCCATAAAACCTCCCTTACCCCTTCCTTCCAACCTTTTCGAGGACGACCCCTCCCCCGCCTTCCTTCCCCTACAGATTTATATGCTCTCCATGTCATTGTACTTTGATCCATTCTCTCTAAATGACCAAATCACCTCAACAACCCCTCTTCAGCCCTCTGACTAATACTTTTATTAACTCCACACCTTCTCCTAATTTCCACACTCCGAATTTTCTGCATAATATTTACACCACACATTGCCCTTAGACAGGACATCTCCACTGCCTCCAACCGCCTCCTTGCTGCTGCATTCACAACTCAAGCTTCACACCCATATAAGAGTGTTGGTACTACTATACTTTCATACATTCCCTTCTTTGCCTCCAAAGATAACGTTTTTTGTCTCCACATATACCTCAATGCACCACTCACCTTTTTTCCCTCATCAATTCTATGATTAACCTCATCCTTCATAAATCCATTTGCTGACATGTAACTCCCAAGTATCTGAAAACATTCACTTCTTCCAAAGGTATCTGTATAAATTTCAAGAGTGGTCAGATCAGTGGTTGCTTGAATTCAACTACAGTAAATGCAAGGTCATGGAGACTGAGAAAGCAGCAAGAAGGCCAGAAATGGAATATAGACTAGGGACACAGAGGTTGAAGACTTCGCTTCACCTCACCGAGGGGTGAACATAGTGCCCAGCATAGTCAGAGGCTTACATGAGCCAAACAACCTCTGCAGCCAATGCTCATCTGGAAATCTAAGAGTAGTCTTCAAGAATCTCAACAAAGAGTGATGCCAGGCCCAGTGGTCCAGGAACATCTTGGGGTATGCAGGACCAGTACAGAACTTGCAACCAATAAGGCATGTTAAGAAATTAGAGAAAGTGCAGAAGTATGCAACAAGGTTTGCTCCTGAGCTAAGGGTCAGGAGCTATGAGTAGAAGCTAATGGAACTGGATGTAATGATGTTGGAAGACAGATGAACTGGGGGAAGGGCATGATAAAATGCAAAATACTCAGGAAAAATTATAAGACTGACAGGAATAGGCTGTTTAAGAGGCGAGAAACAGGAACTCAAGGGTACTGCTAGAAATAAGTCACAGAAGAGTCACAAGGAAGTACTTCTTCTGTATAAGAGTGATCGAGAAATGGAATGATCTTGATGAAGAGGTGGTAGAGGCAGGCCCCATACATAGTTTTATGAGCAGGTAAGATAAGGAACATGAGGCAATGAGGGAGTGAATCTGAAGTGTCAAGTTCAGAGAAGAGCCAGGATCTGAGAATCAACCCCTGCAACAAATAGGCGAGTATAAATAATTTATGAGTATACACACACACAAGCATGCATGCATGCACACACACAAGCATGCATGCATGCTCACACTCATAAACATGCATGTGCATACACACACAAACACACACAATAACTGAAACTGCATACTATCAACATTCCCAAGTAATTAATTGGCTCCAAAGTCCCAATATCATAAGTGTGAAACATCACAAGTCAGGAACATACGGTATACTGTAATGTATTTCCTGCTAAGTTAATGGAGGCAGAAGATGTATGGAGAATTTTTTATACATATCAACCAGCTTGGAAATGGCCTATTTCAGAGCCATAGTGCTCTTAAGTGATTACATGTATCTGAATACTGTACGTATGTATATCATATGTGCATTTAGTTATTGTTATCCCAAATATTTTAATGAGGATTACAGGAAACTCACTATATCCATAGCAGAGGCTGTTAGTGGGATGTCCAGCTGCTTGGCATATTCTTGTAGCTCTTCTAAATGGTCACGAGTAAACCCGAGGTGCTTCTTGTGTTCGCCGTAAGTTTCTCCCCATGCATGTTCTGATATGTAGGGGCGATTGAGGGCTTGCTTGTTGAATTTGTCCGGCAGTGACGACATCTGAAGTTTAACACAATCTGCTCCACATTCCTTAAGGAAAAAGATCATTATTAAAATATGGTTCTACTGTAATAAAATTAAATTTGATGATACTTTACAAATAATTTACAGGTGACTCAATTTTATATCTTCATATGCACATTGTTCATAAATTTGAAAAAGGAGAGATCATGTTCACATTATGATGTAATATGTTAAACAAAATAATATTAAAAGTTATATGGATTCTCACTCTTTAAAGTTTAAGCACTTAGTGGTGGATATACTGTAGAAAAAATAGTCTTACAAGGTCACTGATAAATATATGCAAGTACAGTGCTACAATATCTCTATATCCCCATTATCACCTCTATCCTGGTGCTTACTGCCTTTGTTAAGCATGCTGTTTTTAGACAAGTACAGTGGACCCCCGGTTAACGATATTTTTTCACTCCAGAAGTATGTTCAGGTGCCATACTGACCGAATTTGTTCCCATAAGAAATATTGTGAAGTAGATTAGTCCATTTCAGACCCCCAAACATACACGTACAAATGCACTTACATAAATACACTTACATAATTGGTCACATTCGGAGGTAATCGTTATGCGGGGGTCCACTGTAGTTGCTCCTCCTTCACAGGATCTGTTACCTATTGTCTCAGCCAGCAGCCTCCACAAGGGACATAAGAGTTTATTATAGGAAGTTTATGTTTTGTGACTCTCTCTCAGTTCTTCACAGGGACACACGTCTTTTCCTCTCAGAGGTACCCAGGGTAGTTCTGTTGTGGTGAATAGTAACAATCAACTTTAGAGGTTTAGTGCCCATGATATTTTCTTTTCCTATGCACTTCCTCATAACCAATGCCTACACTACTGATTGGGAAGTTGCCCTGATGTGCCCTCAAAGTTCATGAGGCTTTGGCACTCTCACTGAATTCAGTTGTCGGTGAGCTGAACAGAAGGTAAGATCATGCACATGGTAGCTGTGTACCAGGAATACCTGCAAAATTCAACTCTGGTTGTCTTTACTGACACAAGCACTGTCCTGGCCTGGCTTCACTGCCCCAGCTTGCAAGTGTCTTCTGTCTTTCTATTTCATCATACTGAAGATCTCCTTCTGTAAGCAGGAGTCCATCTATCCTCTCCTTCACATCTGCCTGGCTGCCTCAATACCCAAGTGGATTACATGAGTGAGCAGTGATACCCAGGACCATTTATATGTATAGTTTACAGATTTGTATGTAGATAAATTGTTCAGAGAGCCAACACCTTGATAAATTATACACATGCACAACACTTGGGTATCTTTACTGAAGCAGTGTTTCAGCACACAGTGGCTTCATCAGTCCTATATAAATAAGAATGGTGAACCTCAGAAGAAGTTAGAGGTTATCAGTCCCTCGGCATGGAGTTGATGTAATTATTCCATCAATCTACAGTTATGCCGCAGTTCAAGAAAATCCTGTCTTGTAAAAACATGAAAAGGATTCAAAGCTTCATCTGCTTCATGAAGCAAAACAAGTTTGCTTAGAAGCTGCATTGACGACTTTGATCAGGAAATCTGAGAGCACATTCTTACCTTGGCTTTGCGGATGAGTGTCTTGGCTAGCTCAATATCACCCTGGTGATTCTGGCCAATTTCAGCAATGACAAAGCAGGGTTGACCCTCCCCAATATAGCGACCTGGCACCAGCTCCAGGGGCTCCATCCTCCACTCCTCTGAAAGTTAACTCAGTTGTACTTAAAAGTGTATGTACAAATATACCTTGCAACGAACAGTTTGGTACACAAACTGCATTGGATGTATTGCAGAAAATCAAAACAAGACGTCATTATATATTGAGTTTATGAACCAGATGAGCATCAAGAGAATAAAACAGATTAGTTGTAAACCAAGATAATTTATCTGCAATTATATTATCGTGAGGGTTGTTTAGTGTAACATGTGAATGATTGCTGTATATTTTGCCAACTTCCCGGCCAGAGGATACAGAGCAGTTGGCAAATTTCTAATAGGTTGGAAAATAGTAGCGGCTCAACAAGGGCAATGAAAACAATTATAGTTATTAAGAGAGATAGCACTTTAACAGAAAACATCCCTGAAACCCTCTGTTAAATGCACAAGTATTTTTCTGGACCAAGCTCGAACTCTCGAAGAGAAAACAAAGAAGTGCAGGACTAAAACACAAAAGAACAGTCAATAAATATCTTGACTGTGCATGTCTCATATTCCCACAATCTCAAGGAGAAAGATTAGCGTATATCACACCAGTCACTCCAGAGGTGATAGCAGAAAACTAGGAACTCTTGCCCTCAGCACTCTTACTAAGCCCCGACCATCATCAGCACTCATCACAAGTGTAGTGTTAACCAGGGCAACTCTACGGGAATCATCCGCCAAGTATCATCGAGTGCCACACACGTAACATAATGCACAAGAATACATTCACATATACATATGTATACTTACGCACATATGCATAAGCATACACATATACAAGCATATATGCGAAAGTATACTTGTCTTGCACAAGCATATATGCACATACCCATTTGTAAAGGCATACATAGGCACCTGAACCATTCATTTTGCCTTCATAAATATATTTATGAGGTTACATAAATGTGTGTGCGTGTGTGTGTGTGTGTGTGTTTACTCACCTCACCTAATTCACCTAATTGTGGTTGCAGGGGTCGAAACTCAGCTCCTGGCCCCGCCTCTTTACTGATCGCTACTAGGTCCTCTCTCTTGCTTCCTGAGCTTTGTCATACTTCTTCTTAAAAACTATGTATGGTTCCTGCCTGTGTGTGTGTGTGTGTGTGTGTGTGTGTGTGTGTGTGGTGTGGTGTGTGTGTGTGTGTGTGTGTGTGTGTGTGTGTGTGTGTGTGTGTGTGTGTGTGTGTTTGCGTGTATGCATGCGTGTGCTTCAGGTAGTGTCAAGGTCACCACATTGATCTCAGTTGACACTTCCGCCACCAAGCTGTGTGGGCGTTGCTTGTGGGCGTGAGCGCCCATCTTGCCACTCCTATCATGCCCACTTTCTGACTGTTACAAGGACGTTTGTGGAGGCGGCTAGCATCAGGGTACATAATATACTATTCAGCAGGAACCTCCTGCACACCTGTTGACCCAGAGTTTACTTCGAGTCCGGAGGTCACCGCCTCCGGGGCCCGGTCCCAGACCAGGCCTCCTGGTTCCTGGTCTGATCGATCTATTTGTTAGTGCCCGCCGCTCACAATCCAACGTATGCACTACAACCTGGCTAATCATGAACGGTTTTCAGATATATATTGAGTTCCCTCTAGATGACAGCTAGGGGCCTGTTGTTAATCCCCCTTACGCATGAAGGAATGGTGTTAGAGTCCTGTTACCTGCTACCTTACGTAACCTTCCCATACACGCACGCAAGCAAAATTGTCTAATGTAACCCTTTATTGACGATGTTTCGCCCAGTGGGCCGCATCAAGTCACAGATAAACCTGGAGAGGCAGGGTGAGTACTGAATAGGTGAGGTAGAGACAGGACGTTAGATATAAAACAAGTAGGGTCTGGCTAGCTTGAGTCAGTAGGTCCTCTGCAGTGTTCCTCCAGGCTGGAGGCCCAGCGATGTTGTAGAAATTTAATATTGTCAGATTAGCGCACTATATTATCGTAGTGTATTTTCACATCCTTTCCAAACAAACAAACAAAAGCTTTGGGTTTATCTGTAACAAGGTGGACAGGAACGGCTTGTTCGAGAGGCGGGAAACAGGTACATATGGGCACAGTTGTAAGTTAAACACATTAACATTATTATTATTATTATAATCAAGGGGAAGCGCTAAACCCGGAGGATTATACAGCGCCTGGGGGGGATGTGGAAGGCATTCAGGCTTAATTCGGGGAACTGGAGCACAGATCCAATTTCCTAAATCAAGAGCCCCTCACCAACATCAAGGAACCTTCCTTGAGGGGAAACACATTAACAAAACCCAATTCTGGGCAAAACGTCGTCTAGTATTGCTCTGGCTCACGTGACTTTGTGGGCTTGATGTCTCATAGTTATTAATGGGTTTCCGGCAAGTCACTAACTGTAAATGTATTGCGACACTCCTTTTTATGACCTACCCCTGAATTTTGAATAATCTGAGGGTCAGTGCCTCTCATGCTCCCCTTCCCTCTGATGGTATACATCGTTGCACTAATGGCCTCTTCCCAGCTGTATGGCAGTTGCCGCCTCTCGAAGAAATGACTGAAAATCACTAAGTCTTCATAGTGTAGCTATGATATAGTTATAGCTATGATATAGTTAGTGTCAGTGCAGTCTTCTGTGATCACCTCCTATCTTCTGCATAATTTACATCACCTTCTATCTTCTGCATAATTTACATTACCTCCTATCTTCTGCATAATTTACCTCATATGCTCTGTGAATGTTCCTCCTTTATTCAGCAGCCACATGGTCCTTTACAGTCAGCATTATTATTATTTTTATGGGGAAACGCTAAAGCCGTAGGGGGTCATAATGTGCACATGTTCGGGTTCGATCCAAGGAAGAGACAGGTCCAATTTTTTGAATCAAGAGCTGAATGTTATCAAGGAACCTCCCTTCACGAGGAGGGGGAGGACCCTCACAGTCGTTCATGGGTCACCTACTTGCTTTCCTGAGTACTGTTGTTTTTCTTGGTCAGTATTCCTTCCCTAGCCTCTTGCATCTTCCCTCGGCGCCTTTGCATTTCTCCTTCAACCA